CTGGCTTGCATTACCACACCCCTGTACCAAAAGGAATATTTCGAAAAGTACGGCAAAACGGCGTTCAACTGGTTCGTCTGGGCAGACACGGGGTTTGCTATTGTCTTCACCGTTGAAGCTCTCATCAAAGTCATCGCAGATGGCTTCCTTTGGACACCAAATGCGTACTTCCGCAGCACTTGGGGTGTGATTGACGCCATTGTGCTAATCACTCTTTGGATCAACGTCATCACTCTATTTACCCGAAATGGAGCCGTGTCTAGAGCTGTGGGCGCCTTTAAAGCACTAAGGGCCCTGCGCCTGCTCAACATCAGCGAAAGTGCAAGGGACACTTTCCACTCTCTCCTTATTGTCGGCGGGTGGAAGATCTTGAGCGCTGCTTTCGTTTCCATTTCCCTCCTTATTCCCTTTGCTATTTACGGTGTCAACCTTTTCCACGGTAAACTGCTTTCATGCAACGACAGCTCGGAGGGAATAGTCAGACTGGATGACTGCTTTGGTGAATGGAACAGCACTCCTTACAACAACGACTGGCCCGTTCTGGCTCCGAGATCAGTCTCGAACCCATACTTCAGCTTTGACGATTTCGGCTCGTCTCTGTTCATTCTTTTCCAGATTGTGAGCCAGGAGGGCTGGGTCGACGTGTCCTTCGCTCTTCAAGCCATTACCGACAGGGGTTTGCAGCCACAGTCCGAGGCTCCCTTCAATGGCCAGGGAAATGCGTTGTTCCTGGTCGTCTTCAACCTATTGGCGACAGTCTTTGTGTTGACGCTTTTTATCTCCGTCTTCATGAGAAACTATACTGAACAGACAGGTGTTGCTTTTCTGACTGCCGAGCAAAGATCCTGGCTCGAGCTGCGGAAGCTTCTCCGCCAAATCTCGCCGTCAAAAAGCTCATACGACGAGAGCAAGAACAAGTGGAAGATATGGTGTCACAAACGTGCCATCGAGAAGCGCGGGAAATGGTATGTAGCCATCACAAGCGTTCTGGTCTTCCATCTCGTCCTCCTTCTCGCCGAATTCTACAGCGAGCCAGATTGGTGGACAAACACCAGAGACGCCGTGTTCTTACTCTTCACTCTCATCTACATCGCCAACATCGTGATTCGGATCGTGGGGCTTGGCTGGAGCCGCTTCCGCAAGAGTTCTTGGGACATGTTCTCCCTCGTCACTGTTACGGGTGCATTCGCCACAACGATTCTCTTCATGACCAACACGAAGCTGGACACGTACATTCAGTTACACAAATTCTTTCTGGTGGCGATTGTCCTAATGCTCATTCCCCGGAATGATGCTCTCGACCAGCTGTTCAAGACAGCTGCCGCCAGCCTGACAACTATCGGAAGCCTGTTGGCCACATGGCTCGTCTTCTTCCTGGTGTTTGCGATTGCACTTACACAGACGTTCAGTCTCACCCGCTTCGGAGAGGAAACTGATTACAATATCAACCTCCGCACGGTGCCGAATGCCCTCATCCTACTCTTCCGGTTCAGTTGCGGAGAGGGTTGGAATGCGGTTATGGAAGACTTTGCAAAGATCAAACCGCCGCTTTGTGTTGAGGGCGTTGAGTTCTCCGACAGCGATTGCGGTAGCACCGCGTGGGCGCGTGCTCTTTTCATCGCGTGGAACATCATCAGCATGTACATCTTTGTGAACTTGTTCGTTTCGCTGATTTACGAAAGTTTCTCGTACGTGTACCAGCGGACAAGCGGGCTTGCCATGGTGGATCGGGACGAAATTCGACGCTTCAAGGAAGCCTGGCGCAGTGTTGACCCTGCAGGAACTGGGTTCATCAGTAAGGAGGCGTTCCCCCGCCTCCTCGGTGAGCTATCCGGCGTGTTCGAGATGCGCATTTATGACAGCCGTGACTCGGTGCGCCAAATCCTCGAAGACGTTCGTGGTGAGGATACGTCAAGCATCAGACATGCCTCTATCATCAGTACCACGCAGTTTCAAACCAGCTTGGATCTCAAAAAGCTGAACGAGAGAATATCACAAATCGATGTCTCCAAGGTGAAGGAACGCAGACGACGGTATAACATCTTCTTTGAGGAAGTTATGGTATCTGCGGATTCGGAGAGGGGCATCTCCTTTACCGCTGTTCTTATGATTCTCGCACATTACAAGATCATTAACGACAGCAAGAGCTTACGGTATGTATTTGACTCCATAAGGCGAGCAAAATACCCAACGAGTTGCTGACAAATGCTTCTTTTTACAGTCTCGAGGAATTCCTTCGTCGCCGCGCACGTCTCCAGCGCGTTGATGAAGCAGTACAGCGCCGCATCGTCCTCGGTTTCTTCGACATGATTTACTACTCTCGCAAGTTCAAACGCCACATGGAGGTCAAGCGGTCAGCTCGGCTCACGGCGATTCCACAGCTTGGCGTGCCAGAAATATACGTTGATAATGATCAACAATCAGACAATGAACAGCAAAACAGGGAGAGCAACGGTAACAACAGCGCGAGGGCCAGCGGCAGCGGTGCAGCTGGCGGTACGAATCCTTTCGAATCCAGCTCCACGAATCCATTCGGCTCTGGTTCCACTGCACTAAGTCCCGGCGGGGCCGCATCCTTCTTGTCGGCAGACGACGCTCGCGCTCATCACCGCAGCTGGTCCGGGGTGAGCGCTGATCTCTCGTCTTTCGATACCTCGTACGGCCATCCACTCGCGGGCCCCCGGGCGAATAAGTCATCCAACTCTGCATCACATCGCAACACGCACGCCTACAGCTTCGAATTGCACGACTCTCTAGGCGTCGGAGGAGGAAACGCGCCTTCGCCTGGTGGCTGGGGCGGCGGGTCAGGGACGATGGGCAGCATGGGACTGAGCCCAGGTGGTGCTCTTGATGATAACAACGGCGGAATAAGTCCTGGCGGTAATTCGAAGCGCGGAAGCTCCGTCAGTCCCGCGCAGCTCAGCTCGATGTTGGATGATTCTGTATGGGTGGCCAGCATTCGAAGGAGCGCGACGATGAGACGGGGCCAGAATAATACGGATTGGGGAGGAGGGGGGACAGGGAGAAGTTCTGGGGGAGGATACTCGGGGGCTTATTGAATGACTTGAATATCTGAAAGACGACGAGAGGTTATGGGGAAAGAAGATCTCTGACTATTATTATTTCCATTTGTGCATACATGTTGCGTCTTCTTATGATCAAGCAAGCCGAGGCGTTGCGTAGTTGTTTCTTGATTTCCTTTTGTTGCAACTCAAGACGCTTTTTCTTTTGTCATTTGACGACTTCAATGCTCTTCCTCCTTCCCGTTGCCATACATACTATTGTTACATTGTTATTGACGGTAGACATGGAAGGGAACATTTTGAATATTTCAGATAGATATTGATGGGGTGGAAAACATGGAGTCACGGGCTGTAAGAGAAACAATGTTCAGTAATGCTAAACAATAAACCGTGGGGTTGCTCAAGGTTGTGATGTTACGCAGTGATGCACACGCACGAGGGAGGTGGCTTAGGTTATGCCTTCGGAAACATGTCCGACACCGAGTTTCTAATGTTCTACCGTCACGAATTAAGGCTCTGATCAGATGGCAAGAAAACTTTGAAAAGAACTGAGGGAAAAAGGTGAGCGTGGATGGGTAGCACTGACAGAGGCGAGGGTGAGGTCGTTCGTGATGTCCCTTGTGAAACACATGCTAGCGTCGCTCTGTCAACACCACTGAAACCGCTCAAACGTGCGCCGTCCCCACTTGATGTGTGGGAAGCACTAACATCTCCTCGTGCATCCCTCTCGTTAATCTGTTGGTAATCATGTGCGTAAGTCACCCTGGCGATTTGTGCTGGTTTCAAAGAGGTCCCGCTTAGAACAGGGCAAAGGAAGGGAAAGGGCGAAGATTCGGAACTTGTTTCACCACTTGGGATGCATTGGTGGTCTGGGCGAGGAGTCTGGCCAGACTTCCTTCCATCTTATGCATGATTGCATCGTTCTTTGAGGCTATCCCCGACGTTGTCCTCCGTCCCCGTCCTCATCCCCGTACCCGTGCTCATGTACTATTTCTCGATACGAGCACTGCATTGCAAAGGGCAGACAAGTGAATTCTCCCGATGATATCACGATTTCGCAAATATGATTCGCGTTGGTATCATGATTTGTGTTGGCGTTCTGTGCGTGCCCTTGAAGAATAGAGTTTGGACTGTTGGCTTGGTTGACGATTGGTTTCTTTCTCCCTGCATAACAATCACTTTCTTCCATCCCGGGACCCGTTGGTCCAGTCCGTCCTGTTTCATGGAATGCATGACCGATTCAAATTTTCCCATATCCCCTTGCCTGACTTTAGTAGAGGAGAGTTCCTCGGGTTCCATGCGATAGTCACAAAGGCAGGGTCGTAGCGGTCTCCATTTGCTTGCCTCGTCGTTCCTGGACTCGCACTTCCTCCTGTTCTGCCATCCATCATCCCTTCCCTCTGCGCACCGTTTTAGCCAGGCAAGGAGCTGCATTTTTACGACTCCGAACAGAACCCCCTGGGAGCGACTCCCCGGCTCCAGGGCGGATCGAAGAGAGTTGAGAGTCAAGGTACCCTTGCACTTGCCATCGAGACGGTTACCAAAGTTGGTTTACTTAAAGCCAGTCTCGCACACTTCTCTGCTCCGAGTCCTGCTTTTGTTCTTTTATCTCGTCAGCTCGAGCTCGCCGTCCGTCGAGTTTTCTCAACCTTCCCATCTCCGGTGCATTGACTGAATAAAAGAACGATCCAAGAGCAGGCTTCTTGTTGTTTCGTCTCTGTCTCTGTCACCTTACTCTCTTTTGGTTTTACCTCCATCCAGTCCAGTCATTATCAGCAGCAAAGAAACCCTGGTCTTGAACGACTTTTGAACACTTGAGAGAACCGATTTTGCTCCAAGTCATACACATCTATCACTCGTTCTACGCCTTGCCGTCAGTAGACACTGCCATTCACTACACACCACCGGAGTTACTCCACACTCTTTACGACGATACCGACTCGCAACACCAAAACCAACCGCACATCACAGCCCAAAATGCACAACTCACGCTTCCAGTCTCTCGCCGCCCGCCTCACTCCTCACGGTCTGCGGACCTCGCTGCGCAGCCGCCGGTCCCGCTCATCGTCGACCTCGTCCCGGGCTAGCAGCTCAGACGGCGAGGTGGAAAGGCTCGTATCGCCAGCCAGCTCGACGGCCAGCCGCCGCAGCACGCTCAACCGCGCGGGAAGCAGCGTCAGCTCCTTGTTCGGCATCCGATTGGTGCCATCGGAACCCGAGGAGGAGGATGAGGAGGCCGGCCGCCAGGAGCTCGCCAATGTCTTGGAGCCGAGACCGACGGACGATATGTACTTTTGCAGTCTGGAGGAGAAGATGCAGATGCGGTCCTTTTGAGAAGGTGCTGTGAAGCAAGGAAAAGGAGTGTGTGTGGTTTGAGACCTACCTGCCTGCATACCTACTACCGGGGCATTGACGGCCAAGAAGGGACGACTTTGATGTTCATGAAAAAAAGGAAGAACCCCGACCCTCGCGAGCTCTGGAAGACAGAAGGGAGGAAAATGAGGACATGTCAAGACGGAGGAGTAATGGAATTGGGAATCGGAAATGGGAATTAGGAATTGGGAACTCAACGGCGGCTTGTCGTTCGCGAACCAACCCGGCGCTTGGGGGTATATCTTTTGGTTGGGGTTTTGTTTCTCGTCTCTCTCTTGCTGGAACTATTAAAAAGCGGCATGGGATTATCAGACTCCCTTCATTGTTGGAACTGGAAGCGTATATTTCTCGAGCGGTGTCTTATCCTTACTGATTTTGGACTGCTCTATTTTTTTTTGGGTGGTGATATCATGATATGTCCGGTGTGGTCGGAGTCTACATAATCATGATGTCAATTAAGGGTGACAACTTACTTACAATAACTTATCTCGAGTAATAAAAAAAAGCCTCAATGTCATGCTGAGAACTTTGATGCTGTCTCTTGCTAACTCATGCTGTGTTTATGCTTGTGATGTCTCAAAACTGTTTCAGATATCTTGTTCCCTTATGTGTTCCCGTCGACTGTGGGGGTGTGGGGCTGAACTACCCCGATGCGGGGCCCGGTGTGGGTCTCGGAACGTACTGACTCCCGGCTGGTTAGACCCTTCTATTCGGTCCCGATCTCCGCTTCGTGCTCCGGTATCTCTTGGCTTGGCCGGGAAAGCACGGAGCAGCAAGAAAACTTACGAAGGTCTGTTCTGTCTTTGCACGATCACGATGAGCCACATGATTGACATTCGCCAGTTCAACACGCACGCGGGTTTGCTGACTACTGTAGTGCTAGTTTGCAAGCTAGCATTTGGTCCAGATACATGTGGCCGTCTTGGATTCGCTACAGAGTTGCCCAGCCTTGGGGGGCTGCGGGGGCCAACGACAGCAAGGCGGTGACGCGAAGGGCCCGGCCCGGCGGGCTTTCAGACTTTTTGATTTTCTGTGGATTTCCTGTCCATCCAGAAGGTCAAGGGAGGAACGTGTGATTACACCTCAGCTTGTCAAGCTGAATGTTACAACTTTTTGCAACTTCCTGAGCGCCTTTGCCGCCTCTGTTTGGTCCGCCGCCTCGTTGCTGAGGATGCTTTCAATAGCCCATCTCACACTGTAAACCGAGTGGTCACTTTGGTTGTATGTGTCGGGCACCAACTGAAGCTCAGCATGGTTCGTGTCATTCCACTTTCTTGTCTTTACTCCGACGCCTTGCTCAACAACGCAACATACCTACACCCTCCTCCCTATGTATCCTCGTCAGGTGAACCTGCGTCCCAAAGGCCAAAAGCGTCGGATACTGGCCCAGACGTTCCTATGTGGGGTGCACTTTACACGAGTGGGTTACAAGTGCCCATGTCGCCTTGTTATTTAAAGAGAGACGCGTGTAAGCACGAAGCAAGCAGTATGCCCCTCATGGGATAGACATCATGTCTGGAAAGCTTCTGTGCAGCTTCACCTTCTGCTTCTTCTTCCGCCCTCCTCCTTCCATTTGACTTCCGTCTTCCGTCGCGCGGAGCTGAGCTTGACTGCTTGAGAGACAGCTGCCACCAGTGGAACGTTTTGTCTGACGTTCCATGACGTCGTCCGGCCCTAAAGAAAGAGTGAATTAGAGAAACAACCTCAAAATCGACAGTTGGTTGCACTTACACTTCTCCTTCCCACTCTCCATCATTCCATTCACCAGACACATCATCTCAGCCGAAGGAAGGAACAAACCTGAACCTCTACCCATAAGGAGCGCTGGTCGCACACTGGGCGTTGGTCACGAACTTTCAACGGCACAAACCTCATCTGCAGCATAAGGCAACTGGAGACGTACGATTACGCTATCCGCCCTCAGCTGTGCTTGCTGAGCCACGCGCGCCGCAGAAATCTGGATACGACGATACCCAGAACCAAACTATTTGGATTTCATCCCCATACATTATTGCCTGTGCATAAAGGATACAGTTTCTCCTCTCCCATTTCCTACCGGTCCTCCTTTCAAATTAGACAGTCACGCAGCAAGCAAACACCGAGACAACAACAGCTCCAAAGTACAGGTGCCGGCACCTTTCACCACGTCTTCAGCACATTTTCAAACCTTTGAGTTAATGCAATATACCCCTTCTTGCAGCCAGCGAAAGCAAGGTCAATACCTCGCTGGACATTATTCATCACGTCAGCCCACCGGCACCATCACCTCGACAGAACAAGTCCACGAGATCCTCAGATTTCTCTGGGATTGCATTCATCCAACTTCAGCAACCATGGCACTCTCCTTCAGCCCCTCCACAGACCCCGACAGTATCAACAGCAGACTGAGGCGTCTCATGTCCCGGAAAAGGATTAGAAGCAAGAAGCAGGAAAAGGGAAGGGCAGTACCTCTAGACTCGCCGGCACCCATTACTCCCATCGTGGCTCTCGCCAAAAGACACGACCCCTGCTCTTTCAGGACCCGGCTCTCCGACGCAGAACTCGGCCCTGAGCTTGGTTACTACGCGGCCAACCATCTGGCGAACGACCACTGACAAGACCCTCAGATAGCATGGACTGCAACCTCTCTGAACAAGAACGATAAGAAACAAACTTCCACTGACAAGACCCTCAGATAGCATGGACTGCAACCTCTCTACAACAACAACAACAACAACAACCCCAAAGGCATCTAACGGATGTGTGGCGGTTGAGCGATCATTGGGAAGACCTGGCGAGGCACCACCCACACCCCTCCGCGCTACCTTCAGGGTCAGTTCGCGGACACTACGATCCCGCAAACGAAGCCGGCAAGAAGACGAAAACGGATACACACCAACCACGTCTACGAAGGTTATCATGATACCCAGCAGCATCTTGATCGTTCCCTCCGACGAAGACGGGAGCGAGAGCTTCGCGGCAACCCCCCTCTCCCCAGGCTTCGACCTAGTCGACGTTGCCTTTTCGAACCTGGAAGAGTTTGAGGACACGGAAATGGTTTCCTGGAATGATCGGAGACGGGGTAGCGGGCCCATCAACTTCGACGCCAACATGTCGACCATGCGCATGCCCTTTTCCTATCAGCATACACGCGGGGTAAGGAGAAGTGTGGTGGACATGGTGGTTGCTACCGACTCGGCAGGATTCGGGTCAGACGAGTGGTCCGTCATTGCCGACGCATCCATGATCCCGACCTATGGACCGAGCGATGTCATGAAGCAGCCGATTCATCAGGCTATTGTCAGGAGCTTTGTCTCGAGGTGTAGGGCGGCCAAGCGGAGGATGATGATGACTTCTCGACGGCACTCATGTCGGCTCAGTTTGACGGACATGACTGCTGGCCAGCGTGTTTCTGTTGGTGCAGTACACTAATTGGGGAGTTTGAAATGGATCAGGTCGGCTTTTAGATGGCAGCATGTATAAATGATTGATGATACCGACGAGGGAAAACGAAGGATGCAAACAATCCAGTGGTCAGTGGGATGAACACTATACGTGGGCAAAGATAGTCTCGAGAGAGATGTGTCATCCATTTTATATAGACAACTGCATACGGCATCGGGTATGGAGCAGGTTACACCGGTCTGCTGCTAAGGGATCAACTTGAGGTTTTTATGTCCCCCACATACAGCAAACAACGTCGAAGAATATGACAATGATTCACTTCACCATGTTTACACCTTCGTTAATATAAGCTCATGAGTCGGACCATGCGTTGGATTTCTTCCTTAAAAGCTCGCCCAAATCCACGCCTGCCTCGAGTCTATGGAGAGTCGTTCACGATAGAGTGTATTAGCAACACCATTGTTTGTTATCTTACTATCATCTTGTCAAAAGAGCACACAATGGCCAGCGAAACCCAAGAGGACATAAATGGGGAGGCTATGCCTGCAATCGACGGCAACACAAGTGCCGCTACCACCACAGGAGACCCGGCAAGGGACACTTCAACAGCGCCGCATGATGCAACGGCCTCCAACAATGAACTTGACGATACCAGTTCCAGAGGAACCAACGAGGATATCAGCGAGGGGAATAGCAAAGAGGATGCCAACCCCAAACCTGAAGACTTGAAACCAAAGAATGCTGGACAAGCAGATAATGAGCCGGATCATATCGGAGGCCAAGACGCCAAATCTGAGGATCTCAAGCACGAACAAGTGGGAAATAAGGATGCTGAACCTGAAAGTCTCAAGCCCGAGGACAATAAAGCGGAGGTTGCTGAGCCCGATGCTGTTCAACCTGACAATACCAAACCCGGGGATACCAACAGAAACGATACCAAGCCCGAGCCCGAACCCGAAGACTTGGAACCAGATGATGCTGGAAAAGAAGGGGTCGAGTCCGACGAGGCCAAGGACCAAGACGATGGATCCCATAATGCCAACCTCGAAGGCCCGGGACATGAGGGTCTCCAGGCGGAGCCAGCGAAGCTCGATGGTTCCGAATCGGAAGATGCCGAGACTGGAGTTCTTGTACCGGAAGAAAGTATTGACAAAAATAAGACAGCCGAGGATTCTACAATTAAAGATATAACAGCCGAGGCAGCCGCAACTCAGGATAGTGGAGGAGACACTGCTCACGGGATTGCGAACGACGGGTCTTCAGACCAGAAGTTTACCTACCGAAAATACACAGACAAGGAAGTCAATGACCAAGAGGCTGAAGACCAGGACGCAAAAGATAAAGAGGCGGAAGGTCAAGAGGCAAACGATCACAAAGTCGAAGATGATGAGCACCACAAGGACAAGCCTGAGGATTCCAAAGCTGAGGACCCGGAAGATGAGCAGGTCGAAGCTGAGTCTAAAGAGCCTAAAGATAACAAACCTAAATGCGAATCTGGCACTGCTCAACAAGACGGAACTAAGGCCACAGATGCCACAGCCCAGGATCTTTCAGTGGGAGAAACAACAGCCAGCAATACCTCAACTGTAGACAGTGGGCTAGAGAATCTGGCTCAGACGGCTGCGGATGCCGAGTCTTTAGAGCAGGAGTCTCCAGACAACGAGGTAAAGGACCAGGATACGATAGACCAGGATTCCGCAGACAACGACGCGGATAATCAGGAGGTTGAAGACAAGGCGGTCGAGGGCCAACAGGTTTCGGAGCGCGAAGTCAAAGACCAGGAGGTTGAAGACCAGGAAGCCAAAAGCCAAGAGACTAAAAAGCCAAACATTTTGGAGGAACAAATCAGACCTGAAGGGACAGTGTCCCATGAGACTTCAACCAGAGATATTGAGGCCCAAGCCACAACGGCCTTGATCGAGACAACTGGAGACACTCCGCAACCCTCACCGCTATCCAGGTCCATATCACCAACTGCCTCGCCAGCTTCTCCTTCTCCCGAGGACGATAGCCAGTGAAGAACAACTGTCACGAAACAAAAGCCCACCTCCCAGAAAGCCCACGTCCATCAACGCCTCTACCTCTGGATGATGATGATCCATGGCCCCAGCCCCCTCCAACTCCACCAACCACAGCACCACCTCCCCCACCTGGCGACGACAATAATGTGGAAGGGACTTCAAGTCCTCAACCCCCTTCCCACAATAAACCCAAGGTCCAAGCCAAAGACGGCGCCATGACCAAGAAACTACCTAAAACACCCAACCCCCCTCCCCCTCCGCCAAAGGACGACGACAAGTCTCCAGAAAAAGACTCAGAAGAAACCCTCCCAATCCTCATCTGGTTCCTCACAGGCGGCGGCCACCTAAACCACAAGTTAAACCCCAAACCCAATCGCAAGTCCAACAACAATCCACCAGCACCGCCCACCGCAGCCCGCTTTGCTCGCATGGCCGATTGCCGCCTTCGTAAAGAAGCTGAACTCGAGGCGCAAAAGGAAGCAGCGGGGCAAAAGAATAAGGAAGGAAAGGTGGGAAAGAAGGAGGAGAAGGAAAGAGGGAAGGAGGAGAAGGAGAGAAGGAAGAGAGAAAATCTGAAATGGTTGAGGGGGAAGGGGGTAAGGGTTGGGTTATTAGAGGGGGTTGTTGGGGAGTGTGTGAAGGGTATTAAAGCTGGAAGGGGCGAGGGGAAGTGATGGATGGGTGGGGAAGTAGAGGTAGGTGGAAGGAACGAAGATGGCAGGAACGAAGATGAAAGAAGATATGGATGTTCTGCTGTGGGTAGTATGAGGAAATGAGATGGGGGATGACATATATCCAGAGGCTGGAAATGAAGGGGACCTGTAGAGGCCTGGAGGAGGTGGGTGGTCGTTGAGTTGAAGAATTGTCGTAAACATGTTTCCATCACCGAGGGGTAAGTTGACGGGACGGAGTTATTATCAGTTGGAGAAGGGAAAGGAAAAGAGGTTGAATACTAGCTGAGAAAGGTCGGCTCTGATATCCAGTGGATTGTTGACCAAGTCCATACATCTAATTGAGGTCACTGTCCACCCCAAACATCGATTGTGATGCCTTCGCCCATGAACCTACGGACATGACCTTCATGGGTTGTAATTTGTCCGACTCGCTCAAGAACTAGGGCAATGTGCGAAGAGCGCAGTATCCGGCGCCACTCAAGATACTCCTCAGGAATGTGTACAGTAACCAGCCCAGCAGTCTTAGGATAAACATGAATATCACCCTCACGTTGGAATGAGATAATTTTCCGAACCAAACTGCGCAGTTCCAGGTTAAAGCCAGGCTGTGGAATGGACTGGAATGTCACGCCTCCAACAGGAGGTGACACTCGCGTCCACAGTCTCAACCGGGCATATGGAGACCTTTTCCACCAAGGGAAGTAGGAATACGCTAACATTGTTGTCCTGTCATCATCGTTTTCCATCCATAATGTCATGGGTATCGCTACTGTCCAGAACCTTGATCCATTCCATCCCGAGAACACCATACTCATAACTAATACAAACACAACGAAGGATCATATCTGCCAAGGCACTTGCTCTATGCTTATGCTTTCCATTCCATGTGCCTCGGACTGTAATAACAGTCCATACAAATGAGGGCTTGGTAATCCGACAGAGTGTATGTATGTACAGTAGTGCTTGCCCCCCTTGTTACCACCAGGAACCTTCCCATGCCATGCATTCATTGCCTCCCAGTGGAGCACCATTTTCGTTGTTTTATCTTTCGCTAAAGCCGTTTCTTCATATATCTATCACACAATGTATGACAAGCATCTTCCCTCGTGGACTAACCATACCATGCACCGAGCTTGATCGCGCACAGAATCCCATGTCTGGAAAGAGCAGCAGCAACAGAACGGTGATGATAACTTCCGTGCCGAACCATGGGGGGTAAATAATGAGAAACCGCAACCTGACCATGCCTTTGAAGCCCCTCTCTGCACGAGGGACCATAAAATAAAGAGATACCTCTACGCCTCCCCCTGATTTCCCTTGACACCTAGCGCCACCGCAAAGAAAAGTTTGTGTGTGTGAATAAGGAGGAGCGCAAAAACAAAAACCTGCCATGCCGAATAATATGAAGGTAAAACAAAAGCCGGCCCGTAAGTGCGGGCCAGGTGAATATCCCTCGCCGCGTTTCCTGAAACCAGCTCCCTGTGCACCAAGCAGGTGAAAGAATGCTTTTTGGGTGAGAATAGAAAAGTTGGACGAACGCAGTCTCCATTGAATTCAGAGACAAAAGGCATACCGTCATCTATAGCTTCATGATGTGTCGTCAAACGCCAGCGAGATCCAACCGCGTCGTAGCCTATCCTGAGGATATTGCATAGGTCAGAACCCAAATGCTAGCCCGTGGACGCAGGATGCACCCAGATAAGCTTAAGGAAGCTTGTCAACAGGGCTGTCCTTGAGCTGGTCAAGGGGAATCTCGGCGTCAACAACGCCATACAGAACGGCGTTCTTCTTGGCCCATTGGCGAGTAAGGATGGATGCTACAAAGATGTCAGAATAAGATTACGAGACAAGCTAAAGCCGGTTGGTTCGACATACCCTTGAGGAATTTCTTACTGGCATACTTCTTGAAGAATGCTTCGTGAATAACAGGGCGGGCCAAATAGTCGACCATGAGTTGGAAAACGGGCTCGATCTCTTCCTCGGTGTAGCCAGCATAGTACGCGATGGTCTCGTCCTGTCATCACAAGTGTCAGCCACATGATAATATGACAGTGAGGAATCCACATATAACTTACCCATTCTCCGCGGTCCAGGATTAGGCGTGCCAAGTACATAGCAGCAGCAGCGAGGTGACTGGGGCGGTAAGACATAAAGCGATGGTCCAGCAAGCTGATCTCCATCAGATACTTGCCAAGGGTACGGGACTGAATATCGTAGTTGTCGGCCTTGGAGATGCGGCGAAGAAAGTTCATGGGGTTGGGGTAGCTAAGGTCGTAGTTGAGGGTCGACAGGATGAAGCGCTCCGCGCTGAGGATCTCGGTCTCAGTGAAGCCATCATCGGCGACGTGGCGGAAATTGGCGATGTGAGGGGAGAGAACCTCCTCATACTTGGAGGCAACGAACATTGCGGTAATACCGACAAGCTGAAGACGATCGAGTTGGACGACCTTTGCACTCAAGAAACGATCGATGATGTTGACGGCAAGGAACAGCGTCTCGGGCAGCAAGTGGAATCGAGTATGGACCTCAATGAGCCAGTCGATGAGAATACCGCGAGTCTTCCACTCGAGGTCGTCCTGGTGGTTCATGTACTGAGGGTTCGGCACGGATTTGCATTCGAGGTCACGGAGGTACTCGAAGATTTCCGTCGCATACTCGGCAACCATAAGGGGGTCCTCGAGGTCTTCAGTGTCAAGGTCCTTAACACCTGGCGGATACACTGGCTGAGCAAGGACGACATCGCGAACGACAGGAGCGGGGGGCTCGGCGATCGGCTTCGCAGCCTTGGTGGGAGCAGTATTTTCCTTGACCTCAGTCTTGATGGCCTTCTTCTTCTCGGGCTCTTCGACGTGAAGCTTCTTGCGGGCCGGCTCACTTTCGACGGGTACTGATTCCTTGGTAGAGCCGAGCTTGGTCGTAGACGGAGGAGGCTTGCGCTTGGCCGGAATAGCGCCAGCACCGGCACTGGGGCCAGTCTTGTTGGGCTCTTTGTTGGATAGCGCACGGCGGGCGGCAGTCGCAGTACGGCTCGTAGCAGTCGTGGTCTTCTTCTGGATACCACTCGGCTGGGCCGCCTTCGAAACTAGACCGGGCTTCGCAATCGCTTTCTTCGCTCCCGCAACTTCGACCTTGGTGACATTGCTGACATCGCCCAGTGCGTTCCGCTTACCGCCAACAGTACGAGTGGTAGTGGCGGCGGTGGTTGTCGAAGTTGTCGTCTTCTTGGTCTGCATGGTTTTCGCGGGCATGGACAGTTCGTCGACGTGGAGAGTGGCCGCCTTGGCCCTCGTCATACGTGTCGTAGCTGCTGTGCTGTTCTCGTCATTTTCGTTCGCGAGTGAACGCGGGTTTCTCGTACGCTGCAGGGTTGGGGTTGTATTAGTACAAACAACCAAGGTGTGGACAGCCAATTGCATCAATGAACGACAATGCCACACTGCGCAGGAGAACTTACAAGATTCGGCATTCTTGCCTGATCCTATGCTGGTACAGGAATTGATGTGAAGTGTGTCTACTGACTGAGGTCAGCTAGCTGTTTGGCTTGTTCGTTATTGGTAAAGTTCAAGGTGGAGAGGCCGGGTCTTATCGAAGGATCGATCCCTGCCACGGAGGAAGGATTCACGCGAACGACGAGGGAATTGTGAACACGGACAGCAATGGGAGTAGACGTACCGACTGCAAAACCCAAAGATGTCGGGAAGGATTGACACCGGCGGTCGGCAGTGATGTCGCTGTCGGCACGTTGTTGAAGCCGGAGATCAACCCTGGGTCCCGCGACAGGAGGCTGGCTGTGACCGTGAACGATGTGTGCTGTTGTTAATCGGGATGTTGCCCAATTGGCGACGACGGTCGAGAAGTAAACACGCGATGGCGACGTCCGGAAGTTTGACTGATCGAGGCCGAGGGTTGCCTCCGTGATGGCAGTGGCCTTGCGGGTCCTGGTGATGCGGAGTGGGAAGGCTAGTTGGCGGACGGGAAAGGGAGATATGTAATGTTTACGAGGTGCGTGCAGAGAAGAGTGGAAGTCTTGTTTTTGCGAAGGTCTTGGTGGAGGTGCCAGTGCCAGTGCAGCCCAGTGGATGGGGCTGGAGTGCCAGTGGACGGAGCGGGCGTGTGGACACCGACCCAGGTACCTGATCGGACGTGCTGGGGCTGGGACAAAAGTACCCTTCACTAGTGCAGTGATGCTTCTGAACCGTAAAGTCCAAAACACCGGAAACAAAAACACCACAACAAAGTGATGACGCGCCGTGCAGTTGAGCTTGTCAGACGCACCTCTTGCTGCTGCTTTCTGCGTCGTTAAATCGCCGAATGGTTAGGATGCCGTGCTGTCGAATAAGCAAAAGTCGGAAAAGGTTGTATTGCCAAAGAAATGCGGACTTCAATGACCGGAGTCGAAAGTTGCTGTTGTTGCTGTTGTTGCTGAATGTCGATTGTTGTTGTGCGTCCAGGAAAATGGGTGCTAGTTGTCGAGTTGCAGAATCCGGAGTCGAGAAAGCGGCCAGGAAATACTTGGGCCTGTGTTTTGCAGCAAGCAGGAGGTACCTACAAAGGCGCACCTCAAACACGCAGTGAAGGAAGGCAGGGCCAGCGCCGGCCACGTCCCCTCCCTTGCCGTCAATCCACCGTCAACACTGGCAACCGCAGGGCAACCGGTCAAAGCCGGCTTCTGATTGGCCACTTCTGTCAAGACCGCAAACCTTGGGAAGGAACGGAGCACGATGCACGCTCTTTCCCCGCGCCGCGCTTTCTTTCAGGCCACCAGGCCCCTGCAACGAACATTCACGCGCTGGTGACTGGTCGCTTCCTCCCGCGCCCGCGTTTTGGCGCGCTGTTTGCAGCTCTTGTTCCCCTGCAGTGCCCTGGTAAGAAACAAAGCTCTTTCACTAAAGTTTCGTGGCTGCAACACACAAGCCACACTGTCAACAGCCACAACAGTCCGGGGTTGCGACCAATGCGATGCTGTGATTGGCGCATCAGCCGAGCAATTTTCCACAAGCAGTTATCCATTCGACAAGCCGACGACGGGAACCTCGACGAGCAGCCTGCGAGGACGTCGCACTCCGGTTGCTGGATATCGCAGCAATCGTCCCCTCCAGCACCCCCACCTTCCCAGAGCTCATCGCCAGGAGCTTGGGATATCCGACAGCGATCAAGCAGCCATGCTGCAGCCTCAATTCCGACCTCTCCTCGGGGGGACAGCTTCATTTGCCCAAACCGTGCTGGGCCGCACCCTCGCCAGATGCTATGCCACCAAGGCCGTCACCCCATCAGGAAGCACCGGCACCGGCACCACCACCACCATCAGCACCAGCAAAAAGGATGCCAAGGCCAAGAAAGTAACTCCCTACGTCCGGGACGCCGGCATGATGAGGACCTACAAGCCGCACACGCCCGGTATCCGTCACTTGAAGCGCCCGATCAACGATCATCTGTGGAAGGGCCGGCCGTATCTGCCTCTTACCTTCCCCAAGAAGGGCCAGTCGAAGGGTGGTCGTAACCACAGCGGTCGCATTACCGTCAGACACCGCGGTGGTGGTCACAAGCGAAGAATCCGTATGGTCGACTTTGAACGATGGACTCCGGGTCCGCACACAGTCTTGCGCATCGAGTACGATCCCGGTCGCAGCGCGCATATCGCGCTGGTGAAGGAGGAGGCCACAGGGAAGAAGAGCTATATCGTTGCGGCGGATGGCATGAGGGCTGGAGACGTGGTGCAGAGCTACCGGTCCGGTCTTCCCCAGGACCTGCTCGATTCCATGGGCGGTGTCGTTGATCCCGGTATTCTGGCTGCGAAAACATGCTGGAGAGGCAACTGCTTGCCCATATCCATGATTCCGGTCGGAACCCAGATCTTCTGCGTTGGGTCCCGTTCGGACGGCAAGGCTGTTTTCTGCCGCAGTGCCGGAACATACGCGACCATTATTTCCAAGGAGGAGGAGACTCGTGAGGATGGTACAAAGGTTATGACGGGCAGATTCGTCAACGTTAGACTGCAGAGTGGAGAAATCAGAAGGGTCAGCAAGGACGCTTGCGCCACCGTTGGTATTGCCAGCAACATCATGCATCACTACAGACAGTTGGGTAAGGCCGGTAGAAGCCGTTGGCTCAACATCAGGCCTACCGTGAGAGGTTTGGCCATGAACGCAAGTGAGTAGACCCCCGGAAACATTAGTTTGTCAAGCGAGCAGAAGCAACTAACGGCTCGGTAGATGATCATCCTCACGGTGGTGGTCGTGGTAAGTCGAAGGGTAACAGGCATCCTGTCTCTCCTTGGGGCACACCCGTAAGTTTGGCCCCCTTATATCCTCTCCTTGCCCAGAACAGACGCCTTACCTGTTTATTCTTCTCTAGGCCAAAGGTGGTTTCAAGACACGCAGAAAGTCCAACATCAACAAGTGGGTGGTTACTCCCCGGGTCCGCAACATGGGTGTCCGGAGGAACAAGAAGACTACATAAACACAATAACCTGCTGTGCTCAACTTGGGCTATATACCCACCATCTTGTACACTATGTAGTAAAACGTATTCATTTGTTCGCAGGCCGGCAGTTCGAGGGCTCAGTTTATGTACTGGAAGGATGTCATACGGGGTCACTTGGCCTGATAGCATCGGCTGTTGAAGATCAGCCGTGCTGCCTAGTTTATACCTTCACTCCCGACCGAGCGATACTCGCTTGATGGTGATCAGTTCCGGGACCTGGCTAGGACCGCAGCTCTGTCTATCAACCGGGACATGACCTCAGGGATGTATGAAAGACTACCTCTAGACTTAATGTTCGCTCGACTCGGTCGCTATGTGCTGACCACGAACTGACAGAATGTGCTTTGTTTTTATGGCTGGGAACAATGGGATGAAAGAAACCGTCTGGAAATCGGACGAGTCGTCCAATCATATTTCGCGTTTATTCCTTATGCAAGGAGCAAGACAATAATGCCGACCTCCTTCGCCCTTTCAGATTTGTCACCGGTCCTGTAAACGCCGCCTTTTGAATATTGCGGGATGGTCAAGAGAAAGGGAAGTGTATAAGATAGTGCAGATTGCAGCGCAATGGGAATTCTTTTACGCATTCCAGCGGTGGCATCTTTGCAGTGATTACCAACTGCGCAAGGGCACACATCATGACAGCGTCTCGGTATGCGCCCGCAATTCGGCCGAACATGCCTAGCATCAAAACGCCCCGAAGGGATGAGGCTCAACTTTTGAGAAGGAGGTTCCGTCTCATCTCTCTATATTACAAGATCAAGGGAGAGAAAATGACCATATAGCCCGTAAGGTAGGTGGCTTGAATTTGTCGAGCCCTTGGTGAAGAGTATCTGAAGAGTATCTCCCGTAGTCTCGGTAGAGTTTAATAAGGTGAGGTTACTTTGCGTCATTCTTTTACTGTTTCCAGCGTTTCGGCCGTCCAGGGGCCAGGGCCGTCTGATATTTTTGGAGATTGAATGGGAAGGGATCCACGCGACAGTTAAGAAAACTGCTCCACCATGACAAGTGCCTCGGGCTTTGACCGTGATAAATGCATCGCACTTCGCTGCAGTACTTTCAGCAAAGATTGAACCCCTTCTCTAACAAATAGCTGGGGAGAAGTACCTGCTTATTGGGCCGCAGCATGGTTCCCCAATGGGCGTTCTCCATGCAGCGTTACGCTGGACCGGGGGTGGCCAGGCCCGCCAATGCCCCCTTGAATGATCGGTTGTTACAGAATCGTTGGTTTCTGTTTTAACTTTCCTCGAGCATTGAATCTCACACGAGGAAGCTGCTGCCATTCTCTTATTTCCCACCCGCTCTTGACCATACTAAGTTCATTCAACGCCCACAATTTCGTTTATTATTTCTTACCCTACTGCATTGTTTCTGGGAGTAAGTAGTACTGACCTGTCAACTGACCTCACGCAGACGGTTTGACGGCAGAAGTGCGGCGACCAACCAGCAAGTGGAAACAGGCGTGGGATTCTTTGTTGGCGTTACACGCGCGGTCTTGGAAAGAGGCTTAGAAGTCTTGGGCGGACCATCGTGGACGTTGATCTCTGGGCGAAACTGTTTTTCTTGTCGGACAGGTTCGATACAAGACTGATCACCGGCTGTTCAACCTGCTCTGCCGTCCACTGCACATTCATACGAATTACGTGCACGCGCCAGATCAGATCTTTACCGTAGAGGTATACTGACTGAGTGCGTACTACCGTCACGGCTTCCCGATCTTCACGCTAGACTGAGCGGCGGTGCCTGTACCTCTCCGGCCAAGCCAGGTACTACTTTCCCAAAGTATCATCTCGGTTCCCAACCACACTACGGACAGCCCTAGGTTTCTATAGCCTGGTCGCCTCTCATTGTCGCTTCATCCTTACATTCAGCTGCGGTTTGCGCCTATTGAAACATCCCCTTATTGCTTACCTACGCTCTTTCCGGCTGGCAAACGCGACCCGGCAGACCGCTAGACTCGCTCACTCAGCTGGACTGCGCAGTCACTGGACGCACTACCCGACCCGACCTTTCATCCTGCCGTCCCTTTTTGCTCCCCGTTGAGGTTCCCTTTCCCATCCGACTACCCCTCGGATCATCCTCAGGTCCTCATGCCCGACGATTCAGAAGACCTCCTTATTCCTCCAGCACACGCACGCTCGTTCTCACCAACACACACCGGCGCCTATACACCAACCTCGACGACGCTGATGATGGACGATCTACGACATGCCCGGGGTGGCGGGCCAAAGAGGAAGAAAGGAGGATGGGTGGTGGTGGTCTCATACGTCTTTGACTGGGTCATTATCGCTGTTGCCGCAGCCATTGGCTATGTTCTTGGGGAGAAAACCCCGAACAAGAGACCGTTTTCGCTACACGATCCCAATATCTCGTATGTAAAACCAGAAAGATTTCTCTCGGCCAGTTTTCGCTTGGCCTATTTTTTTTTATGGTTGTGATGCTAAGACGTACGAACCCTCCAGATTCCCCTTTACAGAAAACGAAACGGTACCCGTCTGGTTGGCCTCAGTCATCAGTGTGCTCGCTCCCATCTTATTCATCGCCATCATTTCGCTGATATTCGTCCCCGGCTCCACTGTCCCTCGGGGCACGCCGAAGGCCATGATCTGGAAGCGAAAGCTATGGGAATTGCATATTGGCATCCTGGGGTTGGCTCTGTCGATAGCGTCAGCCTGGTTGATCACGAATTGCATGAAGAACCTTTACGGAAAGCCGCGACCGGATCTTCTCTCGAGATGCAAGCCCGATCTCGCCAATGCGGCCAAGTATGTCGTTGGAGGGTTTGCCAATGCCACCATGAATGGGCAGTTGGTCAGCGCAAATATTTGCACGAACAAGAACAAGGCCATTTTGGATGATGGGTTCAGGAGCTACCCCAGCGGTCACTCCAGCTCGGCAGCAGCTGGTGAGTACTAACGGTTTCTGCAATATTTGGTGATTTTAGTACATGACTGACTGACCAAATCCCACCAGGTCTCGTCTACCTCTCGCTCTTCATCGCCAGCAAGTTCGCCATCACGATTCCCTTCCTCCCCTCCGGCACAAACGTCGACGCCGCCTCTTTCTCCGCCTTCCCTTCGCGGACCCGCCACAACACCGCCATGGCCGCCATGGGCGGGGCCGAATCGTACGAGATGGCTTCGCGGGGTCCCGCAGGGTCAGGAAGCGGGCGCACCTACACGGGCGGCAGCGGCGGCGTAGTCGAGGAGAAGCGTCTTGCGCAGCACACGCGCGCGGTGGCCGCCGTGCGCCGCCAGGCCGCCGCGCCACCACTCTATCTGCTGCTGATCTGCATCATCCCGTGGTTCGCGTCCATCTTCATCGCATCCTCCCGCTGGTTCGACTTCCGCCATCACGGTTTCGATATCCTCTTCGGCTACATCATCGGGCTCGTCTCCGCCTTCTTCGCCTTCCGCTACTACCACCTGCCTATTTCGCAAGGTGCTGGCTGGGCTTGGGGTCCGCGCAGCCGCGACAAGGCGTTCTGGGCGGGTGTTGGTAGTTACAGCTACTCGACTGACCATAACGTTGGCGAGTACTATCGCGCCCGAGACGAGGAGGAGGCGCTGGGTCCTGATTCCTTGGACCATGGGAGCGGTTATGGACGCCCCGTGGTACACCGGGGTAATGGCACCGGTCTGGAAAGTAATGTGGGACCGGACCAGCCTGGTATTACGGGGAGGAAACCACCATCGCTTGATGCTGATGAACGAGAACGGGTTGATACGGCTTATGGGGGGGTCCATGACAATCAGATATGAGTGAGTAGTTGGGCTTGCGGTGGCAGTTGAGAAATGCATTTCCGGAAAGGAGGACCTGGCCCGGGCGGCTGGGCTTGATGACAAAAAAGCGGTTACTCCTCTGTTTCAGGGAAGGGATTCTGGGGAAAACAACACAGGGTTATGTTAGAACAGTTACCTACATAGGGTTTTGGAACAGTTTCTTCATAAAGTTCAGGGCGGCGTTTTGCAGCACGGGAATGAGGAACCTATCCCATCATACATATTTTTAACTTCTCGAGGGAAGCCTGTGCACATCGATTGAGATTCTCCAAAAAGTTTTACGGACTTTTCTAGTAACAATCGATGCATAGAGTGAGTGCATGTAGCCGTGTGACGCTTTTGTATGGATATTTACTCAACCGTACGCTTGGACAGACGGTCTGGTCTTTCTGGGTTTCCAATGCTCCATGAGACAGGTTGTCCCCCAGATACTGTATACCGTATTAATTCGCGAAATATGCAAGCGTCCCATCCCCCTTTGAGCGCCTACAGAGGACATATGTCGGCGCTCCGTAAGCCAGCTACACCAGCATACGCATCTGTCACGGTAGTGAAGACTCGGGGACAACGCCTAAAACTCTAACTTACGTGCGTTCCAATGTACAGGCTCCGACTTGACCTGTACAGGTTTCTGCCCTCTGCAGGCGCTCAAAAGGGGATGGAGCGTTTGCCTATTTCGCGAATTACTACGGTATGTAGGTGATCTTGATGTTCATTCATCGCGAGTAATGATTTCATACCCCTTGAAAGAGAGGAAGGCCGGGTTTATTGGCCGTTACGGGGGAGCAGTTCGGCATAAACGAAGAGAAGCAATTCATGCGGGTTGAAAGACGACCGTACGGACGGAAGCAGGAAAACAAATAGCTAAGGTATTCCAAAGAATATAAAAACTCTCTATCAATGGCTCTTTCTCTCCCAACCTTATTCACATCGTTTCCGAAGTCCGCTATTGAGTAATTGCCCCTTGGGATGCAGAAACTGGGTAGAGAAGAAAAAAAAAGAAACATCCTGTACTCATACTTTGTTACTCAATACTGTATGGTATATGCATTCCACCCACCACCCACTCAAAACATCCCGTTCCGTCCGTCTCTCGCCTAATCCGTCTCCTCATCATCATCATCATCAACAAATTCCACTTTAACCTGCTGTTCAGAATCCTCTCCTAGCCCGAAAGTATGTCGCAGCCCTTCAGGCAGCATTCCAGCCACGTAGTTGATAGGTCTGCCAAGGTCCAGCCAGTGAACTGGATCGCCATGCCGGTCAGGTTTGTCCTCGGCTTCGTCGCGCGCTCCCATCGTGGCTTCCGAGTTCCAATACTCTCCATCAACCCAATCAGCAACCCCTCTCTAATGGACACCTTCACCACCGGCAGCAACGCCTCCTGTCGCCGCACCTGCACCTAGCGCACCTGCCGCTGCCGCGGCCGCATGTTGCTGTTGGGCTCCTCCCTCAACCTCTTCCATAGCGACCAGCTCCTCCTCTTCCTCGTCTTCCTCCTCATCATCAAGCTCAGCCTCGTCCTCGGCGTCCTTAAACCCGCTCTCGACCTCGAGCTTCCTCAGCCGCCTGCGCATCTCGTCCCGCTGGCCGTTCTGCCAGCGCACCAGGGCGGCGGCGGCGTGCACCTTGAAGCCGTAACAGCGCGGGATGTAGCGCTCCACGCTCTTTCCGGGTACCAAAGTAGGGTACACCTGGAAGAAGATGTTGTGGAACGAGGTGCCAAAGTAGGCGCCGTCGATGGCGGCGTGGCGCGACGACTTGGGGTTGTAGATGTCCTCGCACCGCGCGCAGTAGAGCTTGACGGGCTTGGAGTTGGGCACGTCTGAGAGGCCCATGGGCAGGAGCGGGTGCGAGGAACACATAACGCGCGGGCACTTGCCGAAGTCGGCTTTCTTGTACTTTTCGAACTGTTGATTGAGTAGATTTTGTTAGTCATGGATACACATGGGAATAGGAATAAGAGCAGACTACTACTACTAACCATCTTCTGAAGACCCCGGGTTGTGACAATGTATCGAGCATGGACGAGACCGTACAGGTGCCTAGCAGACTTCTCTATTGTTTCCCGCATGTCATCGTCGCAGTCAAGGTCGAAGACATCCGTGATGAGGTCGAGGGCGTATTGGTAGTACTGGACCTCGGTGTTGAGCCCGGTCAAGTTGAACCGATCGGTGATGTAGTCCTCGTCGATTTCGCAAAAGTATTCATTGCCTCGCGAGGAGATGAACTATGCAGCCAGACGCGCAACCAATGTGTTAGCATGACAATTGGGAACTTTTTGACTGGCTGTAGTAGTAACGAACGATCACAACAACAACAACGATTGCTAGAAAAGAAAAGCATACCCAGTCGCGCCAATAGCTGGCATAGTCACTCTCAGACTCGCTCACAAAGTCATCCATGGCCGGCGACAACCAAGTCTATGCTCGGCGCATAAACCTCCAGGAAGGGAGGGTTGGTGGGAGGAAGGAAGTGCGGGCGCGCGAAACGACCGTCGGCTGGCGCTTCGAATCAACGAGTGCCAAAATTCCGGGTGCCGGGGGGTGGGGTCACGGCGTTTGAAACTTTTGTTGGACCGAACTGGGAGAGCGCCGGGCCGTAGATGGGGGGAGTGGGAGGTTGGGATTGAGCTGGCACAAGGCACAATGACGACAAGATGTTGGAGGCAGAAGAGGAATTGTGATGCTTTTTGCGACGGTTTGACGACGGGAGTTCAGGTGGAATGGGGTTCAAAGCCGGCCGCCTGTGCAGGGCAGTGCAGGTGGGGGGTCTGGACTCTGGCGCCTAACAAGGGACTCTTTTGTGGTGGTGGGGGGGGGGGGGGGGTTCATCGCCGTTGCAGTAGTCTCCACAGGGCGGGTTGTAGGGCCCCTGCTCTTCATTATCAGCAGTCCCTATCGTCGGCCTCCAGTCAGCCCAACGACACAGCGTATGAAATTATAGAAGTACTTGAACGTAAGGTACCTACCTATATACAGTTGGGGAAGCATCCGGATCTGTTCCCGTTACTCTCAGCTTACTTAGTTAGACGCCATGATGGTCACTGATAGAGTTTGTGCCTGATTATGGAATAGTATATGCTTGAAAAAAGGCAACCTCAGTCGCCTGTGATTATAGCTGTTCTAAATTATCTTGAAACCTCCCGGCTTCTGTAAAGTCTGTGTTGTCATACTGTCTGTGTCTTCTCGTGAGACAGATCGTGTTCCTTTGTCTCGCGCTCAGAACCCATTCTACCATAAGCTGATATTCTTGTAGGAGGATCTTGAGCGCCTCAGCCAGGATATCCAATAATCCAAAATAAAATCAACTACCCGCTTTCCAACTCCCATGAACCCGGCTTTCGTATGGCCACGCTCATCAGCTTTCATGCCGATTAGCACTGACAACGCTGCCGGCATCGCTGATTGTTCGCCTGTCAGCATCCCAGTCACTACCCGTGATCCCTTTGGAAGTCAACGAGCTGGTGCTGGAAGCACCGTTCACGCCGCCGCCCTGAGGAACTCCAAGCATCGTGCCCAGCCCGCTGCCTACGCTGCCATGCCCATCCTCCAAGTCACTTTCCTGCTTCACTCGTAGCTTTGCCAGCTCCATTGCTTCACGCAGCGTGTCCCCCGTTTCATCGAGCGCGGCCAAAAACCGTGCCAATTCTTTGCACAGCTCCCAGTCGCCCTCGCGCATAGCTCTGCTTAGGAGACGCACGCTCTGCTCACTTGCTGTCGCGAGTTCGTCAAAGGTGTGGAGGATGAGCAAGTAGCCGCCAGCAGTCTTAAGGCTGCCACGCTGTAAGCTCTCCTCAAACAGCTCCTGCGGTGGAGGGAGATAGGCAAACAGAGTACGCCAGGAACGCACTTCCGTCTTGCGGGTACACTGCACTACAATGTCCAAGTACTGCTTGAACGATGAGAGGAGCGACAGCACGCGAGGGAGGATGGCATGCTCTGGAGCGGGTGGAGGATGGACATCTACCTCTTCGTCCAGGACGTGGTGCAGAAGAATTTCCAGTCCATGTGCAAAGTACTCGAGGTGTTCATATTGCTGAGCCAATCGCAACGCCTCAACCGGTCTGTTATTACTCAGGTAGAACCGTAGTATATCTGGTAAAAAGAGGTGTGTCTATTGGTGTTAGCAGGATCTTGCTCATCTTTTGAAGTGATATCTGGGGGCTTACCCGTATTGAGAAACGGAAGAAGGAGAAGCTGACATCACGGCGTTGGATGAGATCGGACTCGACGCCAAGTACTATAGCTTTGCTGAGAAGAGCGGATAAGGGATAGAAGTCGATAGGGATGGATGTCATGGGTGGAAGCTCTCTCGTGGCTTCTCCAGAGATGGCCCTCAAAACTGGTTCGACATCTGTCCAGGCCTTGATTTCATTACCGTCAAAAATCCAGAGCGAATTGCGTAAACTGTCATCAGCCGCAGCAGTGAAGATCTGCTTTTCGTGCTGCGTTAGGACGCTGCCCGTAAATGGCTGGTCCCTCATGCTAACGTAGAATTCGAGGTTGTTCGCAATGACGCGCATGTCATATTTAAGACCGCCTTCATTGTACGAGGGTCGAAGAAGTACCAGCTTGCCATCTACCAAGAACAATACAGAGGCATGAGCCACGTCTTGGGATGGGTCTCCGTCTAACAACTGGCTCTCGGGCAGGATCCAGCTTAGGCCGCGAACTCGCGCGGGTGATCGGATGATGCCATGGAAGGCTATGTGACCAACTTCCACCAGCCTAACGGTGCCACCGAATGGCGCAAAGATAAAATGGTAGAGGAGGTTGTCGTAAGTATAAACGAGCAGCGAGTCTTCGCCAGAGGGAGTGATCAGGACAATGGGCGCTGACATCTCCTGAGTATGTAGCACATTCGGGCTATCGAGCGATGCCTCCCGCGAGTAGAGACGGAGTTCGAAGCTCCTATTAGCCTCCACGGCAGCAACCAGGATATTCTGGTACCAACACATGCCGCCCTTAACATGGAACTCGTTCTCCGCATCCGCATTCGCGAACGTCTTCCAGCGACCGCTGTTAACGCTATAGTGAGCCAGACCCCTCCTGCCAGCAACCGCAACATATCTACCATCACTGGAGATGGCGGTACACCTAATTGGCCAGTTGTTCATCAGATAGCTAGCTGGTATCCTGGCTGTATGCCACAGCCCAGGCTCGGCCGAGATAGATGTAAGATCCGGTAGGTCATATCCCCTATAGACCATGACGCTGGAATTGCTCTGAAGCACGGTTCTGAAGAGATTCGCAGAGTTGTAGCATCCGGTTACTGCGCTTCGTGCCATCTCTAGCAGCCAAATTGATTCATGGGCTCGGCCTACAAGCAGCAGTTCACAGCCACCTCCGATCCAGGCTGCGTCGAGGACTCCGGATATCCATTCTTCCCCGGCTGTACTAGCAATGGAATGATCGGCCCCGAAACTGTTACTCAGTGGCTTGCCATACACACTCCATGTTGCCCATCCCTTTTCATAGCCAGCAAAAAGACAATAACCATCAGGGGAGTAGCTCAGGGTTGTAAGCCTGCCACATGTGTTGGTTGAAGCAGGGAGATTGTGGACGTGAGAAGGCGGAATGTTTCCGGAGTAATCTTTTGCTGAAAACACGCGAATGTTGCCATCTGCGCAGCCTACAGCAATTAGGGAAAAGACGGCGTTGACGACGCAACGTATGGCTTGTTCACCAGGCGTCTGAGGTGTATAGAAGCAATAGCCTTTGAAAAGCTTCTTGGGGTCGGCCAGCTGGTTCGTATCGGGATCCTGTTGGCTGGTAGTGATGCGCTGGACAGCGTACGCTTTGCCGTCGCTGGTGACCCATGTGGACAAGTTCATGCGGCGGTCATGTGTCATCTTGCAAACCATGAATTTTTTGTCGACCCAGCCCATGCGGCTCAATAGCTCTGTGGTGGTTTGATTTCCCGGAGCCTGGTCCCGGGGTCCATCGGATGCATTGAATTGCCGCAGGTTTCCGTGTAGCCACCACCAACTCGTCGTCCAAAGCCAAAGCACTCTCAATGCCTGCGTCAACTTTGATAACCATGCGGAAACGAACGCTGACATCCCTTACTCCCGATCCCTCACCGGGGCCCCAGAGTATTTGATCTGGAGCTACCGCTCCTGGGCCGCCTGCATGGGTTTGCCGCCGTTTCTGAACATTGGTATGACTGGAAAAATGGGGTTTGTAGACTCGAGAGTCGGCGTCGGTAGCCAAAGAGTAGGTGATCAGATAGCCCAGGCTAGTGCGCACGACAAATATGGCGGCGTCCGGACGCAGCATCAAGCTCGTATTGGTACCGTAGGATTTTAGTGACGCCTCGGATCGAACAACCACAGCGAGAACTACCGTTGGCTAACATATATGTTAGCGGGGTGGGAAGCCGAGGGAAGGATAAGGGCATAGTCACACGAGTATACCTTTGTCTGCCAGATGGTCATTGATGTTGAGGTGATGACGGCGAACAGGTGGCCAGCTCTAGCAACGCGGAGAGCCAGTATCGGCTCCCTGGGAGGAGCATTGGAGTGAGAAGGTTCTGGAGGAGGCGGTGATGGTGGTTCGGACTGTCCGTCATCGTAATAGTCGTGCTCGACGGACTTGATGGCCGGTGTGAAGGGTGTCACCGGAGTGATCGGCGTAGGGGGGACACTCGAGGAATCGTAACCGTCGGCGGCAGCACCTGGGAACAACAAAGAGTCCCGGGTAGGTCTTTGGTCGGGGGCTGGTGACCCATCGTGAGAGTAGAGGTGAGGGTAGGATGGCGGGCAGCTGGCGCTTGTCGCATATATCCGGGGAGTTCCAATGGGCCAGTACATGGCTTTCTGAAGCCGATGCCTTCACGGCGGCCTCATGCGCATCAACAGCCTCGGTGCTTGTTGTCGATCGTAGAGTCAAATCATGTCGAGCCTGGAATGGCACTCTGGGCAGAAGGTGTGCTCGTGGGCTCCGAGTCCCGTAGTGGAGGTAGTGGTGGTGGTGTGCCGAGTGAGGTCGTCGGGACGGGATTGGATGTTGGTGTTCTGGTGGACGTTTAAGTTGGGGACGGGGCGTTCCGCGAACAGGGGAGCAATACATAAGGTACCTGCTGTGTAGGTATCGAGTGGGGAAGTACCTCCACGTTGTACATGCTGTAAGCGGCGGCTATAGGCGCCGCGCTAGTGTCGGTTGAGGGCCCCAGCGTCCGGCATCGCAGCTTTCAGCTCCCTGCAAACAGCTACCCCCAGGTATCAAATGTACCTTGCGTTAGTGCATAAACAGCAAATTGCGATGCAATCCATCACCGACCTAACGACTGGATAAACAACAGAGCAGCGGGCATCTCAACTTCAACTTCTTCACTCAACATCCATCCAGGCATGCCCCTCCCTCCACACCTTTCTCACTAGGTATCCTTTGAGGCCATTGTTCTCGTCCACCGACCTGTGCGGCACATACCATTTGCACTTACCTGCCCACAAATCATTTTCTTCGATCTGTGACTTGAAACAATCGACTTTAGCCTCACCCAGTACGAAGGCAGCTAACCACATTTATAGCCACCTCCACCATCTTGGTCTTTCGGACGTACCCAAAAGGCTGCACTAAATTGACAGCTCATCTTGAAGACAAACAGTTAGGACGAAAGCATGGCGCCGCTCCTACGCCCCAGATATAGCTTGTCCAAGGATAAGTTCCCGGCATACTTTGGACCTTTGAAGAGCCAGTCCTACAACGACACCACCTCTGGGCCTCGGGGCGGTGGTGGAAGCCATCACAGGTACTTCGCCTATCTTGATTACACCTCATCCATGTTAATGTATCCTCATGGCTAACAGTGGTTACTACCTAGCCTAAGCACAATAGCATGGAACCCGTTGGGAACTCTTATTGCCACTGGTGCTATTGACAAGACACTTCGCGTCTGGAATCCCGAGAAGCCCAATGTCAAATTCTCAACTGAACTCAAAGGTCATGCTGCTCCAATTGAAAAAGTCGCCTTCAATCCCGTCAAGGATGCAGAGCTCTGCAGCGTCAGCAGCGATGGCGCTGTCAAGATCTGGGACGTAAGGACCAAGGCATGTGTCAACGAGGTCAAGGTTTCTGGACACGCCACGTCCCTGGCCTGGGCTCCTGATGGATCCTCGTTACTCGTTGGTAGCAAGGTAGGTGTTTTCAGAGTTCCCAGAAGAAGTCCACAGGCTGACCCATTTGTTCAGAATGGCGATCTGTTCCACATCCTGCCCTCTCAGTCTTCCATCGTTTCGACCCACCATCAACCGGTCGGTACAAACCAGATGGCCTTCTGTTGGAGTGGCGACAAGGTGTTCCTGCCCACCAGCGAAGGAAGGATACGCATTTTGTCCTACCCTGACTTTGAACCTGTCCTGCATGTTAATCACGCCGTCCCAGAGGGCGAGCCAACCGAATTCACGCTCAAAGGCCATACGGCTTCTTGCCTAACGGCTGAGCTCTCTCCCACCGGCAAATACCTGGCAACGGGAGGCGCCGATTCCATCATTGCCTTGTTTGATACCAAAGACTGGATCTGCCAGCGGACAGTAACCCGCATGGTTGGGCCCGTCAAGAGCATAAGTACCTTACCCAGTTTGCTCGCCCGAGTTGTTTCGTTTGCTAACCACATCCATAGGCTTCACATTTGATGGTAGTTATGTGGTTGGTGGCTGCGAAGAAGGTATGTCAGCTACTCTTTGGCCATCCACTCATGAGTGAGAATGCTAACTCGCTCAATAGGTGGTAGCTTGGAAGTTACTCATACAGAGACGGGCGAGCATGTCCACACCTTCAAGACAGCCGGTGCTTGTGAGGCAGTGGCATGGGCACCTACTAGATACTGCCTTGCTTACAGTGATCTAGGCGTACTCCGCATCATCGGCGTGGACACTGATAGGAAGTGAGCAGTCTCTGCAGAGCGTAATGCTCTACAAGTTTTCCGGCGCTTAACAGTAGAATGAGCGCGCTATGGGCGCCGTCCAACAGCAAAAGGCCAAAACTCGTCCTTGGCCATGCCTTGTCGGATTGATCGCATCAGTAGCATACAGCTGATGGACTATGCCATACCCCACGCATGCAACGAGAGTGATCAATGGGTGTCCAACTTACCGGATCCAGTCGGTCTCGGCTGAGTTGATCCAGAGGCTTTGTTGGGAGACATACCGCAATAGGCAGTTACAACGAGGTTCTTCCTGCCAAGCGGAAACCGTGATGGAAGACCACCGGACCGCCAAATCTCAATGATGGAAGAGTCAAGGCAGTTCCGTCCGGGGGGAACCAGGGAAATATACATATGGCTGCACGTTGACAGCTATCAAGACGGGAGAACAGAGACGGGTCCCCGGATCTACACCGTGGGTGCAAACCCACCGGTCTTTGGTGACTTTCATGATTCAGATAGCTAAAGAATTATCGTTTCCGTGCTTTGACTTTCTGTTTTCTCAAGCGATCGCGAATTATTCCAGTGTCTTTAGAGAAAGCTTCCAGAGTTCTCAGAGGCTATATGGTAGGTAAGAGAAAGGGTAAGCCGCAGCGGATCCAAGTCCGGATTTCGACAGGTAAGGGGGGAACTCCGTCGAATTGGATTGGGCAGAGCTATTAATAATCTAGCCACAACAGGGATGATCAGACTGGATACGCAGTGCGCTAATATCAGGGGTTCAGGTGTCAAGTACACAATTCCAGCAAAGCACGCCTTCAGGCTACACGCGACGAGCGTCCCTCACATACCGCGAGTTTTATATACCCTTGGAGTTATTGGATGATCTCGTCTGCGAGTATCCATCAAGCACAAAAACACTGCCATCAACAGTAGCAGAGCCCAGCGCTTTACCCTTCGGGCCACTGTTCATTTCTATAAGGGACCAAACCCGACTTCCCGTGGTCAACCAGCCTGAACAGGAAGTGCCAGTGACCAGCTGAGCCACTTCCACGCCTTGTACGACACTCTGTCAGAATAACGCTGACCTTGGCAAAGGCATGGCGACGAGGAGACCACAGACTACTTTATAGTAGGTAGCAGTAGCCAAAGGCGCATACCAGCTGGGCATGGCTTCGGGGACTGATGTTAACGTGTTGCCAAGCTTCTAGATCCCGTTCCCTAACAGTCATCCACATTTTAGTCTATAGACAGGGTAGCAGTTGAGGTACCCATTCACATCAGCCAGAGCGTTCCACAGGTCCAGTAGGCAAGGTATTCTGTAGTGTACAAGGGAACGGAAGTAGCCGGAATACTACCATTATCTGGCTCTAGATTGGCCCTGACGTGCCTGGGTCTAGGTGGCCTAGGAGTTTACGCTCCCTCATGGTCAACGGCCGCCGCGGCCAACCATCCACTCAAACGACGGAACGTTTTGTTTGTAGTTAATCGGTGGGAAACATCCTTCCTCTGTTGAACCAACATTCACAAGCCGCTTCGACTACTTTATCAATCCGGACAAACGATAGGTAGACTCGACGTAGCTACCCAAGGTAGGTAAGCTTCTCGTACTCCAGACCCTAATTCCTGCCCTCTCAACCCACATCAGATCAGCCGTCCACTTGTCGACCTGTCTTCGTTTGCTTACTTGACCCACAGCTCCAACACCATCCCGCTCAGAGGCAGGACTATTCAGTGTCACCGAAAGCTCTATACCTCAGAAAGTGGCTCAAGACAGCAGCAACAGTATCATTCGTTCGATTGACTTGAACCTTTAAACTTCAAACTTCGGGCTGCCTCGATTCTCACCATTGCGTATTCGTCTGGCTGCCTGGACAGAAGCAGGTGCACTTACTGTACATCTTCCGCAGTCAGCAATGAGCTTCTCTTAGCCGTCAAGCAGAACGTTAAGAAATTCGCTGCTCTTTGGACGACCTAAGTCCTTTGTTCGCCTCATATCACGTAATTTCGACATGGCATCCTCATCCTCCAACTCCACGGATACGATAATGGCATCGAACGCCCACAACGACAAGCTCACCGACATGGAAGGGACTGCAGGGGGTGCGACTGCTGGGGCGAACTCTAGTACCCCAAAGCAAAAAAGACTGGCATGCGAGATATGCCGAAGGAGGAAACTCAAGTGCGATGGCACAAAGCCAAGTTGCAGTACTTGCTCGCGTCTCGGCCATGTGTGCGCCTACGATGAGAGGAGAAAGAAGAGTGGCCCGAAGAAGGGTCATCTCAAGGCCTTGGCGGAAAAACTAAGTGCGCTGTTTTACAAACCGTCTTGTCCGTCCCGTGGCTTCAGTTATGAGAGCACGTTTGCTGACTCGTCTTTTTTTGCTCGCAGAGCAAGTTGAGGCTTTGGTGAAGACGCAGGAAGCGTCGAGACTGGCTGCGGAGGGTACCTCAATAGCACCCAATATCATCGATGGTGGTGGACCCAGCCAACCAAGTCAACATGCTGCTGCCGCCGCCAACTTTAACGTTCCGGACCGTTCGCGTGGGATGGCAACTGGGGGCGGTATGGATCAGTGGCAGTTTCATGGCGATTCGGCCAGCGGAGGATTGGATGACTTCAACTTGGGCAACAACTTGGGACTGGGCATGAACAGTATGGGCGGCGACTTTACCTGGGAAATGATAGGCCTGGAACTTGAGGAACCGCTACCGTCCCAGGAGACCATCGACGAGTTGTAAGTCACTCTCACGATGTTTACGAGGAGTGAGTGCCCCGTTATCTTGCTAATCCTGCTAACGAACTTTGGAATAGGCACCAAGTCTACTTTGACAAGATACATCCTTCCCTTCCCATGATACATCGCGCCCGCTACTTCCATGCGATGAATCTGTAAGACAACTTGCCCAACTCTTCAAGTCTTTGGCCAACCATCAGGGGCATCCAGCAACTATGTTTTGTTTCTTCGCACAGTGCAAAGTTAGACATGGGCTTGCTGACCACGCGTTATATCGCAGGGCCCCAAATCAGCGACCACCAGTGTGTTTACGCTATGCTATGTGGACACTTGCCTGCGCCGTCACAGAGCGGTTCCTCGGTCTCAAGGAATTGTTCTACCGAAGGGCCAGGAAGTATTTGGAGTTGGATACCATCAAGGGCTTTGGAGAGCACATGATAACTGTGTCACACTGCCAGACTCATGTGCTGCTGGCATCCTACGAGTTCAAATGGATGTATTTCCCGCGAGCGTGGATGAGTACAGGCTCAGCCGTACGATTATGCCAGATGTAGGTCAAGTTTCAACACAAGCCCCTGCCCCAGCTTGTATCACGTACTCACTCTCTTTTAGGATGGACCTCCATCGAGTTGATGGTGCTGGCTTGCAGGTAAAACAGTGCTTACCGCCCGCCCGAGATTGGACAGAAAAGGAAGAGCGTCGACGGACCTTTTGGATGGCCTTCTGTCAGGACCGTTACGCCAGCATCGGGACGGGTTGGCCGATGATCATTGACGAAAAAGACATTCTTACTGACCTTCCAGCCTCCGACGAGGCTTACGACTTGAGTCGTCCTGAGGAGACCCAGAGCCTGCATGACGTGACAGTCAACACAGGTCCTGGTAAGTTATCGTCTTTTGGCGGTGTCATCCTCCTGGCGTACCTCTTTGGCAGGAACCTCATCCACCTCCACCGGCCGGACCAAGACGACCGAGATCATGACCTCAATGGCGAATTTTGGAAGAGACACAGAAACATGGACAACATCCTCCTTAACGTCTCGCTTTGTATACCATCTTCCCTTAGACTGCCGCAGGGCCTGGGAAATCCAAACGTCGTCTTCACGAATATGTGCATTCACACGTCGACTATCTGTCTGCATCAGGCAGCTATATTCAAGGCAGAGACAAACAACCTGCCTGCCAGCGTCGGTACTGAGTGTAAGATGAGATGTATCACCTCAGCCCACGAGATTGCAAGCATCATGAAGATGGCCTCTCACCTTGACCTGGATAGGGTACGTTTCATTCCCCCTGGTCATTATCCGTCGTTGGACTGACTTTTTTTCTTTTCTCGAACAGTTGAATCCGTTTATCTCCTTTTGTCTTTATGTTGCAGCAAGAGTATTCGTCCAGTTTCTCAAAAGCCGGCCGGACGATAGCCAGGTAGCCGACTCACTTCGGTTTCTGCTATCAGCCATGAACGCATTGAAGCGAAAGAATCCTCTCACCGAGTCCTTTGTAGTACAGCTTGATGTAGACCTTGAAGCTCTGGGTGCCAAGGTTCCCAAGCTCAAAAACGCCTTTTGCAGAAGTAGCGATGGTGTGAGTATTGCGAGCTGTATCCTCCACATGTCCCTAGATTTAGACATACTAACGAGACCCGTCAACATCCGCAGTCATCACGAGCTCACGTGAATCCGGGGACTGGACTCGGGACGCAGACAACACAGGATAACATCTACCGCCAGGAATGTCAATTTCTCCAACCGTTGAAGACGACGGAAACCCCGCCAACGCTCCCAACCTAGTCGAACCCGTTGATCTGAACGACCCTCTCGTTCAGCTCCCAGGCTCAAGCAGGAATACCGCCTCAGATTGGTCATCGTCAGCCGAGCAACGAAATCCCATTCCTCCAGCCGGCGGCCAACACGGGGATGGTCCTGCCAGGACAGACGGTTTACCCTTTGCCACGTCTCTTCACGGCATGGTGCCCAACAACATATCGCTACCTCCAAATTACCATGCCCACCCTCCTCTCGATAGGGACACCGGCGGAAGCAGCAACGGCGTCCCGCTGTCCACTCCTTCACCAAACTCTAACCAGCACACGCCCAATTCCAGCACGTCTTCTTCGGACCATCATCAACATATGTATCACCAAATGCATCAACAACCACACCACCATCCTCATCATCACCAGCAAGGGCATGGACAGGGACACGGACACGGACAAGCACAAGGACAAGGACAAGGGCATGGACTGGCGCCCAACAACAACAGCAGTAGACACATGAGCGGATCAGGAGGGTCCTCCTCCATGTTGTTTGAGAACAACCATAACAACAGCACCAGTCCCGTGACGCCTGGCTCTTCTTCGCATCCTACTACAACCACCGCTACCACTGTCCCCATTACTGTCACTACAACCACCACCACCACCGCCACCAGCACTGCTCTAGACACCAATCCAGACCCCGCCGCAGCCGTCGGGTTTTCCTCGACCCCACCATCTTCGGAATGCCTGGCGTCGGGATAGCGCCGGGCAATAGGACGAACCCGGCGTTGGCGAGGACGATGTCTGACGGTCAACAGCAGCCACAGCGTCACCACCACCACCATCACCACCACACTGGGAGTGACCCCAACAATAATGGTACCCACGGGATGGGTATGAACATTGGCGTGGGCAGTGGTGATGGTATGACGCCCGATAGTGTGCTACAGTCGATCATGGCGATGGGGAACATGGATGGTATAGAAGGTATAGAGGCGTGTGGAATGGATTTGGGTGGGGGGATGATGGCCTTACTGGCGGCCACGGAAATGGTCATGGTCACGGCGGCCATGGACATGGCGGGAGTCTTTGATCCGGTACCGGCGACTTTGAGATTGCCTCGTTGAGAATGACCTATGACGTGAGTTGAGAAGAAGGGGCTATTGGGTGGAGGGTGTGAGCAGCCCATTTCTCCGAAGGAAGGAATGGAAGGAACGGGAGTGTCCAAAGTAGGCACACATGACTCCAGGTAACGAACGGGTTGGCATTTTGGCCGTCTTGGTTAAAAAGCACGGATATGACATCGTCGGCGGTTTATTTTTACTATTCTTATTTTTATAACTTCTTCTCAATATTCTTCCACGTGTTCGTTCCCTTTTCGGTTGGTCGTCTTCATCTTACCTCTTCTACCTACTGTTGGATCACTCTCTTAGGAGCAAGGAAGTCCATAATGTCCATATAGCGGTTGATCATGAATCTTTCTTTCTTGTTTTGGTGTTTTTTCATTCACCTCCATGTTATGTTAGTAGCAAGCGAGCCTTCTTTATATAACTGTCTATTCTATGAACATATGAGCACCCTTGTGGATAGACAGACCACTGTGCCGTCTGACCAAGCTTGTTGTTGTTGTTGTTGTTGTTGTTGTTACTAGGAACAAAGGGATTAACCAGGTCCCTTATTTGCGTATCGTCATCACGGAAGGGTTGGGCTTGAGATCGGATGAAGGAGTGAGAGTGGCATGGTAGCCGTGGCAAGCAAGCAAGGGAAGAGGGTACGGTCCGGCAGCTGCTGGCTTGTCTGGATGGAGTCAGGGCTCGGAGTGTTTTACTTCCGGAAGTGGTGATGGACTGTACCTGCTTGTCGCATGACTTGTTGCTGTTCACGACTTGGTGTTTGAAACGTTCTCACATGTTGTGGTATTACGAGGGGGAATGGTGGAAATGATGGCATCTAGGTACTTACTTCTAACTGTCAGTCATAGTATTTCGATTCACTCGGCATGTACGCTTCGGCGGCCGGTTATATTCCTGGGATATAATTCTGCCAGTTTGGCATCAGTCTTGCTCCCGCTACAAAAGAACCTCAATTTATAGATGTAGCACTGCACGATGCGAAACCCAGACACCAAGACAACTAACTCCTTAGGGCAGCAACTTAAGGCAAAGGTAGATAAAGATGGATACACCATACACCTACAAATTGATCATTTATTTTTTCCATCCCCAGATGACAGCCACCTTTATATATCCAAAGACGAAGAAAACCACCAAAACTCCAGTCAAATACGACCTCCGATCCATGACATCTGTGGGGACCGCCGCGAGCCGGAAGAGGAGCCACTAGAAGAGGAATAGCTTCCGGTCAGCGACATGGCCCTCTGGGCCTTTCGAATCTGCTTCTGAAAGTTCTCCGACAACTTTACTTCCCACTCGAGGCGCGCCTCGCGCTCTTCGCAATCCGCGGTATCCAGCGGGTACATCTCCAGGAAGGGACGACACTTCTCGCTGTTCTTCTCGGCTTTGACGCACGCCGTGTCCAGCTTATTGGCTGTCTCTGTACTCACCAGCTCTGGCGTTTTGTGGTGTTCAGAAGCGTCTTGTCGGCTGACACTGCTGCCCCCATAGTTGCAGTTGAAGATAAGCTCAATCTTGTCGTCGAGAGTGCCGTCGTCGTCGGGGTCGACATGAACGATAATCCTGTCGCCGTTGTAGAGCCGCATCCAATTCTTGCAGATGCTGTTTCGGTTTTTGGGCTCGTTCGAAGCCAAGTGTTTGCCGTTAACAAAGATTCCATCGGGTGCCTTGGTGGCTACGTAGAAATACAAGTCCATGTGGTCGCCGAAGTGAGGAACCCAGGGCCGAAGGTGCTTGGAGGGATTGAAATTTTCCCTCCAAACCATGATCTTCAACGCGCATTCTGGTATCCTCGGCTCGTCGGGATAGCTTTCGGTGTTCTCTGGCGACCTACCCCAGGTGACTATCGACTTGCTTAGTTTGACCGAAATGCCAGGTAGTATGGACTCGTTTAATGATTGCAAGTCGCCCCCATTCTGTAACGGTCCCATAATTGGTTGAGATATATCTGTCACAATGCCCATCTCCTTTGCCAATTCCCATAAAGAAGGTTGTTCTGCCTGGATCTTGCTCATGGGCGGAAAGTATTTCTCGGCCAGAGCCCACAATGGGGTTTCCCCTGGCGTAAACTTTTCTTTCTTCCCATATTTCTTGCTCCTGTTCTCAGCCGCCGTCTCGAAGGCTTTCCATTGTGCAATTGTCATCTCAGGATAGTTCAGATGAGCGGTAGAGGAGTCCTCATTGTGCCAGTATATTGACTTTCCCTGTGGTTGGAGTGTATGAGATTGGACCCTGGGCATCTCGGCGAGCAACTCATCTTCGTTCTCGATGGGCGCTTCCTTCCGGTTCAGAATCGAACTGATCCTCCTGTTAGATCGACGCTTCTTAGATACGGGCTCGTTTTCAATCGACGACCGTGAATTGGTGTTTGTTGCGAAGGAAGATTTCCGTTTGCTTCTCGTCGAGTCAGTCGACGGTGTAACATGGCGGGACTTCATATCGAGTAGGCCCATTCTGCTCTCAGCACCTTCCAGACTTTGCGAATTGCCCCCCAAGTTGACGTCGTTCACCGCGTCGGCTGACCTGCTCGCGTGGGACGAGACGGAAGAACGTAAACCAGCCAGAAGCGGCTGTGACCCCTGCATGTTTGGATAACTTTGCTTCGGAGTCTCTTCTTCCTCATCGTCAGAGTTGGCCTGACTGTCCGGTATCTCCATCTTGGACCTGAACCGCTTGGGAGTTTCTACGTTTGTTGGCATAGTTGGCGTAGTGGGCAGGTTCAAGCGTTCTGGGGCCACAACCCCCTGGCTCCCCAGCGCCGACTGGCCAACTTCACCGAAAAAACGCTCGGTTTGGGTGGCAGGTCTGTGGACATAGTTCACTTTGTCATGCTCGAAGTCGTTGACATGCCCTTCGTCATCGATCAGCTCTTCTTGAAGCCAGTCGCCATCACTCGGAACGGTGACATCCCCTTCTGCGTCTTCTCTTGGTGTAGCCGCCGATTCGTCTCTCAGACTCAGCTGAGACGCTCCAGCTTCCAGTTGTTCATCTACTCCGCCGTCTTGTGAGCAGGACAGCGCGACATCTGAGGTGCAAAGCCATTCATGCTTCAGCAAATCCTTTGCCTTAGCTCGGTTTTCAGGCCTCCGACGGAGCATCTGCGACAAGAAGTCGATGCACTTGGGTGAAACAGTCTCGCGCTCATTCCCGTCCATGAGTGGGTCGAAGTTGGGTACAGTTGTCATGACCTGGTGCAGGAACTCAGTGTGAGAGACACCATTTGTAGCAGGGAATGGTGGTTGAGTGGTCAAGGCGAAGTATAGAACACCACCCAAGGACCAGATATCGACCTTATGATCGTATCGCGGATTCCGACGAGGTGGACGCGGGTAGCTTGGACGCCGTTGTCGCCGGCCAAATACGTCGTACTCATCAAACTCTGCATAAACCTCGGGCGCACAGTAGAGCAACGTACCGCAGAACGTCCGAAGGAATGTTGCCTCGTGGTCGTCGATCATTTTGGAAAGCCCAAAATCTGTGAGCTTGACGACTAGCGGATCCCGGGATTGCATCAGGATATTGTCAGGCTTAACATCGCGGTGAGTGATGTTCATAGCATGCAGATATGCAAGAGCGTCCACCAACTGCGTCGCTATCTCCTTGGTATCTGGCTCGGATAAGGAAACCTCTGCGCCGATGTACTTTGCCAGGTCACCTTGAGCGACGAACTCCATGATTATGTAAAGGTGTTTATCATCGGGATTCAGGTGCTCCTTGAACTGCACAATGTTTTTCTGTGGATTAGATTGGGACGTTAGCCATGTTAAATCGGTTTGATGCAAATGGAGTGTCAGCTCTAGCATCCAGTCGATATGATGACTTACATGAGAAACTGTTTGCATGATCTTCATCTCATTCTCGACCTTTTGGTCGAGCACACCATTTTTCATGAACCTCCGTTTTTCGAGCTCTTTGGCGGCATACAGACGTCCATTCATCCTGTCGGCAATCATATACACTGTAGCGAAGGCACCCTGTCCAATTTTGCCTACAAAGTTGTACTTGTCGGACCCCTTCCATGTCCTCACGCCGCCGTACCCAAACATGAATGATGGCGACAGCTGACGCGTGACAATGACAGGGGCTCTGGGTTTCTGCGGAGAGTCTCTGAAAATATCAACCTGCATTGTGTAGTGTCAGAAGATGCACCGAGACTCGGATTTGGACATTGCCTTACCCGCCCCCCTGGTCCAGGCACGATCGTCTTGTTCACATCCACCTCTTCCACCTCTGTTCGTTGCAAGTATCTGATCAAGTTTTCGTTGTAGGCCTCAGCGTGTCTGCCATGACGGTTTGGAACCCTAACCAGGAATTGAATGTCTTCGCGACGCCTTTCCGCGTCAATCTTCTTTGCGTGGGAACTGTAAATCTCGATCACCGATCCGCTCCCCAGTGTCCACATTTTAGGATATTGATCCGGTTCCTGACGCTTTTTTCCTGAATGGACCAATTTCCCGTTTACATACGTGCCAATCAATGACATGTCTTCAATCATGAGAATGCCATGCTCGTTGAAGTATATCTTGAAGTGCTTGTTGCTGACACTTTTCAGCTCTTGGTCGACGGTGACATCACACGTTGCGATATTCCGTCCAAAAACAAAGCCTTCGAGCGGTTGTTTGAGTTTAGACGAGAATCGAAAGGCGAGATGCTGCTCCGAGGTGTTTGTAGCCGGAAGAGCGTACGTGTGTTCGTCGTCGTTGCCGAAGTCCATGTGGATTTGGCGTGTATCATTCTGCCCCATGACGAATTCGGGAGGGGCATTGGCCACCACTTCCCTTGCGGCAGCGGTATACGGGATAAGGATGCATATTATATCAGCTAGGGTCTCGTCAGAAAAGCCCGAGTGTTGCTCCCCACGCCGGCGAGGGTCGAGGATCGGTTGAGTGGCTGCCAGAACAAGTCCCGATGGTTAGTTCAAGGAGATACAGAATCACACATGCCAGAGGGTAGGGATTACGGGAAGAAGCTCACCTTGGGTAGAATCTTGGGTAGCGTCTTGGGTAGCATCCAGCTGGGAGTCTGAAATATCGTCCATCATGATAGTTTTGGGAAAGCATCCAAGGCCAATGTCCCGGCACACTTGAGCGTGGACAACCCAGCTGGTTGCCAATGAATCGGCAAGGGCCCTGGGCCGATGGCGATATCTGAAGAGGAGGGGAGCTCTTGAAGGCGATCGCCGCTATCGTAATAGCATATATTCGATACTACTGCGAGAAGGTAGTGTGGTTGTTCTGTTTCTTCATTCGATCATGGAGAAGGCAAGTGGTTGGGAAAGCTAGAGTGGTGTTTCCGATCAAGAAGCTGTGCAGAGCGGTCGCGAAAGTCGTCAAGAAGTGTGAGATATGCGAAGGATCGGGGCAGGCCGAGGGAACTGGGAATGTCTGGGAATAGACTAGACTAGCTAGCGGGCGTGAGTAAACGTTCGGTTCTCCGGGTGTGTCTTCGCCACGGGACCGTCGAGGGCGTCAGGTTGTGCGGGCAGTATGAATGTAGCGCGGACAGCTTTCCACGGGCAATGGCAACGACAATGGTTTTGGCCAAACGGCTCTCTGACGGAACTCGTGTGGCGCGTCTAAGAAAAGGAACGAAATTGGGGAGAGGAAAAAAATAATAGCCAGTCGTGACGACGGTTGCTAGGGGGGCAAGCGTACTAAGGCATGCGATAGTACAGAAATTGAACCAGGTGTGGTGCAGTATTAACTCTAGCGTAACGTTAAAAGTGTACAATAATCGCATATGCGTCGTGCGTCGTGCAGTGCAGTGCAGCGTAACGAAGTTCACAAATGCGGTGCGGTGCGGTGCAGTGCAAGGGAAAGTGCGTGACAAGACGCGTTAATGACAAAAAGTGTACGGCGCGCAGCGGGGAGATGTACCTAGTAGCGTACCACCGTACCAGACGTGCATGCCGATACTGTGGAGGTACATATGCTCGGGTCCACTTCAGACTGGACAGGTGGAGCAACACGACACGGGACTCGAACGGAGTCCTGCCGGTTCACGTTCCGGCCACCGCGGCGAACAAACACTTCTCAACACTCATCACGCCCTCAACTCTCCCAAAACCGAAAAATCACAAAGACATCCATGCATGGGACCCGGGAGACATATCATCTCAAGAAACAAACGGAAACCATGGAGAGCCTGCCAGGCCGAAGAATGAAGCCGCTAATAGCACGGCCGCATTGATCCGTTCGTTTGTTGCCCGGGTTTGACATCTAGACTGTGCTGTAAATACACAGTGACAATCGCCTGCTTGGCCCGCCACCACAGACAGGGCGGGGAGGAGCCCTCGAGAAAAAGAAAGGGAGCATATAGGGGATCTGCTGAGGGGAAGACGCTTGAGGGGGGTTCTCGAGACCTATCAAAATTGACTCGATCAATACTGTAGTCAACATTTTCCTTCTTCTTCTTCTCAGCGAGGAACCGCAAGGTTCGTTTGCAATGGTCGCGTGAGAATCGGCCATGGGGGGGGGGGGGGGAGGGGGGGG